GCGCAAACTGAAGTATCCATACCCAGATTGGTATAAGAAGGCCCCGCCTATTTGATTAGAATAAAATATGGTAATTCATATCTTCATCCGCTACCTTCAGTGTCCTGCAGCAGATGGTATCTACCCAGCTCATCTTCAAAAAATACTTCCACATCAGCTGCCTTTTCTAATCACATCATTCGAGGCATGTTACGAGTGGCGATCCCTGCCCCTATAATTACAATAAGCTGTGATCAGATACATCTCAAAGATACAGAGGAAACTAACAGACGCACTATAGTCATACCGACCCTTCAGCTGCGCTACAAAAAATTACCCTCATCAGTCGGGTGTTCTAAGCCGCCCACAGTATTTCTGCGCAGAAACTAGAAGGTACTGTAGCATCAAATCCGAATTAGCAACATGTATCATCGTAATCTATGCCCTGCCCACCTGATGGAAGAAATCATAAATAGAGTTCACACCGGTCACGCTTATCACTGGCGTAACATAGACAACACCCACCGTAGCTCTGCAAGCTCTTTAGACTTGTCTTCGCTGTCTACTTCCTTCAGCAAGGCTCATTCCTGCAACCAGTTTGAAAGATTTTAAGCTAGTTACCCATACAATCTCAAGACTATAAAATGGGGGACTGTGCTTGAGTTTAGTGTGCCTGCACCGTCCGAGGTTTAACTTCCTACGTAACTTTACGATATTTTCCCTGAAGAGAACCGACAGCGACAATGAACAACCTAAGACACAGAAGGAAAGCCACATTTGGTATACTGAGGGCTTCAATACAAACTACACCGGAGAAGCTGGGGTTCTGTAACTATACCACGTGCAGTATGCAAAAAATGGGACAGCCTATATATAGATATTCAATTTTTTTTATAAGGAGACTTCCGTTTTCTTGTAATTATGTATTTAACTCTAAAGTCATTCGAATGTTACGTCCGACATTATAGAAACACCCATATGTATGCTAAAATCTGACAGAAGAATGTCGAATCTCTCTCTATCTTAAAGCACACAAGGTCTCCTTAAAGCTTTGGGGGAGTAATTTTTCTTTTAATCTGCAAACAAACAGTAACCGAACATATTTATTTGAGGTTCTGGTAGCATAGTGACAGAAGAGCACAGGAGATCATAGGCATAGGACTCGTCACAGCACTGCTATATATCTGTAACGAAATAATAGTTTCCTAGTATAAAACGCGCAGGTTGCGGTAACTGAGACATATCATTTTTATGAGCTCGCTTTAAAGTTCTTGAAAGCTTCTTATAATACTCGTAATATGTATTATTCATACGTCAATCGTGTCACATATTTAAAATGTATCTTTTTCTTGCCTTCGGGCTTGACAGCTACTTCATTTTAAATTAAAAAAAAAAAATAATAATAAAAAATACTTGAAAAAATTTGCACGCCAATTTTCTCTGTGTAGTACCAAAAATGACACAAAAATGTAACATGCCGCTTGCGACTAGCACGGCTGACTGGCTGATGTGTCTTTAAAAACGATTTGTACGAATTACAAGTGGACTCGCTTGAAGCGTTAAGCAAACGAAAACTTCTCGTCTCCAAGCCATTACATTTGTTTTTCTTTTCATTGAAAATAAAATACACCTGAACTTTTTTAACTTTGTGCACGTATAGGCACACATTCCCACATATATACATACATAGATTCAACAACGCCAAACGTAAGCTTGTCTTTGTTCCTACTTCACACTTGGTCTCCACTAGTTGATTGCCTCTTCTTTACCACTTTACCACCTTAGCACAATTTCTTTAGAGGCATAAATAGTATGCACGGATGTGTGTGCATGTTAACAGAAAACTTTTTGTGTGCGCTTATGACAAATGAGAGGGTCTTGTCAAGAAGGTGTTAAAAGCATTTTTGCTTTATGGTGGAGTACATACTTACGATTTGTTGTTGCTTATAGTCAAAGTGTGCTTACTAGTACCATTTCATGAGTTTTTTTTATTATTCTTCTGAATTTGCTTAACTTTATTTGCACAAACTATGGGTATGTAGCTGTGTGCATGTGGACTTGAAGATTTCTCTGCTGCCCGCATAGCTGCGTGTGCTTAAAATATTTGCCTACGCAAGTGCTAGTGAAGCATTAAAAATTACAAATTTTTCTTCATTCATTTTCTTGTAAAACTGAAATGAGACTTTGACTTGCTGTTGTGGTCCATAAAGATTCTGTAAGTGGCATTCAATGAGTTTGTAAATACAGATATTTCTTTGACTTTTGTAGCGACACTGTAGCGTTAAAAAGTATGGCAAATAACGAAATTAAACATGACAAAACGTTTACTATATACCAAAGATAAATATCAAATTTTCGTAACTATTGAAATTTTCAACGAAAGAAAAGTACTCGTGTGCGATTGCTAATTTATGCTCAAATAATAATGAATAATAGTAAGGGCCTACAGACGGTAGACAAAGGTAAATTCTTCTGTTATTGACCTATTCATGTAATTTCGTGACATTCACGTGATGTGCATTAAAAAATATCTCTGTAGAAAGTGGTACACGGCACTAAACTTAACTGAAAGGTTAAGCTGAGAAATGCCTATAGCGGGCTTGTGTCATTTATTATACTTGGATCTTCGGTGGAAGCTGGAATTCGAAACCGAAACCTGTGATGTTTGCATACACCCCCGCCACAAAGCCAAATCCTTGCCTATGGCTTCGTAGTGTGGTGGGGTCCATTAGGCAAACAATAAAATATCAGCAGGCTAAGTACAAGCTACGAGAAGAATATTGAATAGTGATGCACAGAACCGAGCAACCGGAACCGGACATCCGGGTTCTTTGGAGAACCAACCGGTCCGGTTCTTACAAGATCAGAAAAAAGGTTCTAACGGAACCGAAACTCAATTCCGAAAAAATAAGCAAAAAGAGCTAAAAAAAAATACCAGACCGTAATGGGCTTATGGCCGCCATATTCCTGGATAGTGTGTATCTCATTTCCCTTTATTCCCCTGTGGTCTGGAACGGATAGTAAGTATGTGGCTGCTACTGTGAATTGCAAGGGTGTCAAGTTTATCTATGCACTCAAAAACTATCGCCGATGTTGCTTCGAAAGTGCTTTGAGTGGCGTCCGGCTATCACAGAGAATGACAATTAGCTGATTGTGGTGGCTCATACTTTGGTTGAGGGCCTAGACTTGGTAGAGATTTCTTAGCTCTGGTGCCATGGACTCCTGCCTTTATGCCCTCGTGAGTTTTCGAGGAGTTTGTGTGTCATTCTAGAACACTAATATGGAGACGCTTTTCTAAGATGGAGGCGNCATGGACTCCTGCCTTTATGCCCTCGTGAGTTTTCGAGGAGTTTGTGTGTCATTCTAGAACACTAATATGGAGACGCTTTTCTAAGATGGAGGCGCTTCATCCTGCTTTGCTATACACTTCTATTCTCAACTTCTTCTAAAATAGCATCGTCTTGGGTTGTTATTGTTGTAGCAGCACTACTAAGCCCCGCCAAAATCGATTCATTCATCAATCATCGTCAAGCTCATCGAACGATTGGTCCAGGAAACGTGCTGTTTCGACGAAGTTGGATCAGACGGAGAGGAGCATGCGTGGGCATATGAAGGGGGGACTGATGTCGTGGGAGGAATGTCCCTATAGGTAGGATAGGTTGGACTTCAGACTACTGCAGTATCCAGACCGTAACTGGGCCAGAGTAGCACAAGTCTCTCGTNGATTGGTCCAGGAAACGTGCTGTTTCGACGAAGTTGGATCAGACGGAGAGTTGCATGCGTGGGCATATGAAGGGGGGACTGAAGTCGTGGGAGGAATGTCCCTATAGGTAGGATAGGTTGGACTTCAGACTACTGCAGTATCCAGACCGTAACTGGGCCAGAGTAGCACAAGTCTCTCGTGGCAGCTAAAGCTTATTGTTTCGGTAAGTGGAGATTGTGCTCCTAAGACGGTATTCATGCGACGAGAGAACAGAAAGTGATGATGCACTCTCTAGGAATGCCGTTGATGGCTTCTGTGTACGCCTTCGTGTACAGCAGTTCTTTTATATAGATATGGACTGCGCCCGTGNTGGCAGCTAAAGCTTATTGTTTCGGTAAGTGGAGATTGTGCTCCTAAGACAGAAAGTGATGATGCACTCTCTAGGAATGCCGTTGATGGCTTATCTGTACGCCTTCGTGTACAGCAGTTCTTATATATATATGTGGACTGCGTCCGTCTACTCGAAAAGATGCCTTCTGACGCGCCAGGGCTCCTTCTCAAGGAAGAGCTTGTTGGACTGATCGCGTATGTAGCACACTACTATAAACTGCTTGTTGGGTAGGATGTTGTACTCTCTTACTGGGAGTGGAGCTAACGGGAACTAGTATATGCCCTTTCCTCTTCCAAAACCCCCTCCATCGTTTAGCCGCGTGCTCAATTGTTACGTCTAGAGGCTTCAGCTACTGAATTACCCCCTGTGCTAACGGCGGGAGTGTGACCATATATTTCATAATGGCTGGAGTAGTTATTGAGGCCCAAACCTATGTTGTAGTATCATGATGTACATCCACCTAAGGATTCTCGTGCTGCATTCACAGTAGCGCCTACCGGCTTTTTTCATAGAAGTTTGATACCCACGAACAGTCGATGATACTTCACTTCGCTGCTACTAAAATAATTAAAACTAGAACTAGGCATAAGAGCTCTTTGTCATTCCCTTCATCCCCAATCTATTCCCCACAAACGCTAACTCGCTTTTCAAGCATTTCAAATCTCGCATCGAGCACTTGAATGAATTCCTACAAAAATTTGCCTATCGCAAATCGAAATCGAAAGAGAATAGTATTCTTAATTGTGTAATACTACATAGAGTAAGAAATGTAAACACACGCCTACTTACTGTTACAAAGGTAAAAATCAAATAAAGATAGCACAAGGAGCCACAACACACTTCAATGACAGAAACAAAAAACTAGCGTAAATGCAAACATACGATTTCCAACAACAGATAAAAATGTCTCGCTGTGAAGATGCATAAGTACATGAAAGTACTTATGTGAACAAAATTAAACATATGTATGTAGATATGTATGCAGCGAGCACTTGATTTGCAGCTTCCTAGCTGACTGCAGCAAAGATCTCATAGCTGCCACATCATTCAAGCATCACCCATGCGATCTGGTACATCTTAAAGGCATGCGCAACTTTACATTAAGCTACAAGAGCAATAACACACATGCATGTACTTACATACGTATTTAGTTCCAGTTGAAACACTAAAGCCATTTTTTTATCTCTACTTCGAATCAAATGAACAATGCAATAGTTATACTAGAAAGAAATCTCAACTCATTCCTTCCTTTTGCTCTATACTCCGCTTCTTCTTCCTTTCCATCTCTCACCTCACAGATATCGACGAGTGTGCTGGCGGTCCCTGCGAACACGGTGGCACTTGCATCGATCTAATCGGCGGCTTTCGCTGTGAATGTCCTCCTGAGTGGACAGGCGATGTATGTCAAATTGATGTAAATGAATGCGAGATTCACTATACGACAACCAGCAGCAACAATGTCGGTGGAACGTTAGCCGATGCGATTTCATCAGCGACCTCTTCGGCGGCGTTGATTGCCGCCATAAGTGCTGCGTCATCGTCCACAGCTGCAACGGCAGCCGCCAAGGCAGCACTTCAATCGCAAGCAGCAGCAGCAGCTGCAGGTAATGCCACGGCCAATGGTGCGGGTGCACAAGCAGCGATGACCAGCACCGTGGGTCCGTGCATAAATGCGCAACAATGCCTCAATCTGCCCGGTTCATTTTCATGTATTTGCCTCGAGGGCTGGGGTGGACCAACGTGTGCGCAGAATCTTGACGATTGCGTGGGACAATGCAAAAACGGGGCGACCTGTATAGATTTGGTGAATGACTACCACTGCGCATGCGCAACTGGATTTACGGGTGAGTGGCGAATTAAATAAAATAGACAAATCTTAATATTTATTAATGCATAAAACTGTATAAAACAAATACAAAAATGATTTGAAAGTATAACAAACACTTGAAGTGATCAGAAAGCTGGTGTAGCGAGACAGTTAGTTGACTTCGCTTGCCTTTACGGCTTATTATAACGATTTGGAATGCTTTCAATTTTTGCAAAAATATTTGATTTTGTTGCGAAAATGTTACTCATATAATGTATTGTCTTTACTTGTTTTTAGGTCGCGACTGTGAAACTGACATAGATGAATGCGCCAATTCACCGTGTCGCAATGGTGGCGAATGCGTGGACTTGATTGGAAAGTTTAAGTGTATCTGCCCGCTGGGTTACTCCGGTTCATTATGCGAGGTAAATATGAACATAT